AAGCAGTAGTTCAGTCTTTTTAAACTGAGACATTAATTTCTAATCTCAACTTTTGCTCGAGACCAAAATTTGCTGCTCAGTTGACCTTCCTACCATTTGGAGAGGAGAAGAAATACAAAGATAGCATGGCTTGAGATTCCTTTGGATTCATTCATGCAGGTTCTGATTAGAGGTCTGCAATTTTAGACTCTAAGGTCTTAATAATACATTACATTGAAAAGCTGTGCTAATTAAATCTTTAATTTCAAGGCTTTTTCCTGTTATCCTTTTTCTTGAGTCTTGTATATTTTGAAGTGCTGACCAGTTGGGTTTTTTTCATGTGCTGCGGAAGATGAAGGACCCTGAAGTAGTCAAACAAGAAAAGAGGGGTCAGATTTGGTGTTGCACAAGAGTCTTTGCTATCATGTCCTAGCAGGCATAGTCTGCTTGGCAAATTGCCAGATTGAACTCCTGGACCTAATACATGAAGAGGTTCTATGGTTTGTAATGTCTGAAAGGACTTTCCTGACATAGTGTCCAATAAGCTTGTCTAGTAATGGGCCTCTATACACATACACTTGTCTGCTCTGACACCAGAGATCTGGCATGTTGGAGCAGATCTGATCAATCAAGTTAATCAACTAATCAAGTCTGCTCTGCACACGAGCTCACGCACCCAGCGCTGCAATGCATACATTTGTACAAATGGCAAAATGCGCATCAGAGCTCAGAAAATGGCAGTGGCGTGCTTTTGAACTAAAATGTATCAAAGCTGTTTTTGTTCAAAAGTGTGCTGCTGCCATTTTCAAAGAGCTAACATGCATTTTGCTGTTTATATAAATGCATGCACTGTAATGCCAAGTGCTTTTAAATGTGCCCAGTGCTGCCACACAGCCATGTGTACAAATGCCCTAGGTGCTTTCATCGGTTACATGACCACGTTTGAACCTTGGATCTGACAGGTCTGTAGTAGCCTTGTTGCCAATGAATCATGGGGGAAGAAATTTCAAGGGCCATTAAGTCCAGGAGTCAACAACTTACAAGCCTACAGACTGGCTGTGGTCTGTGGCAAGATTTAATCCTATGGTTTGCAGCATTTACTGGTGGGGGCAATTGACAGCATGCAGCAGTGGGGTGGTGGGGAAGAAAATAGGGGTGATGACCTGCTATAGTACCAAGCTGCTGTAACTTGGATGATCACTTTGATAAAAAGCTTTTGGAACCCTGATCTAGTCCATTACCATGTGCAAACTTTAAATTTATTTGTGAGTGGTGATGCACTTAAATTCTCAAATACAGCTAACTTATCTTGGCTGCAAGTTTAAAGATTCCCTGACTTAAAAAATACTTTGTTTCAGTTGCAGCCAGTTGGTTTTTTAATCAGTGTGGAATCTCCAGCACTAAACAAGTGAATGCTGAAGATATCCTCCAGTATAGTGTCACGTGCTTTTTCTGTTAATTTTTGCCTTAAAGAATCCTTATGTTGTTTTGTAGGCCAAGAATGAAAGTTGGCCGTCTGTACTAAACAGTTGATTATTTTAAATTTCCTTTTTCAAGGTACAGACAGGCAAGGTTCTTTGGGTAGGTGTGGTATCTTTTATTAGATCAACTGAGTAGTTGGGAATAAGTTCTTTGGAAGCTTTTGGGACAAATCGCCCTTCAGGCATGGGAAGTGAGTCTCTGCTGTTCTGAGACTCCAAGGAATGAAAGAAGCTAAAGTGTGACAGGATGTCACTGAGAATATACATGGATGGAAGTTAGAAAAACAAAAGGTAAAGCAGGGAAAGGGGTTGGAGAAAATGTGAGGGGGGGGTGGGGGAAGAGCCAAAGGTGAATAAAGGAGACTCTACAATAGTAGATTTTCAAGGTAGAAAAGAGGCTTTCTGTGAAAGTAAATAGCTGGAAATGAGGAAAACAAAGGTTAGAAAAGGAGGGGAAGCAGAAGGGAGGAAAAGAAAAGTGTAAGAGGTCTGGCAGGTACTTGGTGAATCAGATGTCAGGCAGGCTGTCATGAAATACTGTAGTAATTCTTAGCAGGTAACATTTTAAAGGAAACTTACTATTGGCTTTTTAAATTGTAAATAATTCAAGCTGTTAGTATGAAACTGCAAATAAGAAGGAGACTGCAGTACAATCAAACTATTGATTCTGGCTTTTACATATGTTCGTTGTAGAGGCTAATATGTCAAATTGACTCCATACTATGACACTTTAACACATTATGAAAATAATTAACTGAAATGTAGCCAGGTTTTTAAAAAGCAATTTTCCTTGGCTCCAAATATTTCATAATCTTGTATGGCTTGGTAAATTGTATGCTGGAGTTTCTCACTTGGCTGAACGTGAGCGTCTTTTGGTAACTTTAATTTATAAACAGTTTTTAAATTAATCCTTTAATATTGTTTTTTTTAAATCTTAAGCAAGGACATTCAAATTATAGGCTGATCTCCAGACTGAAAGTTGCAGCAGCAAGATTGAATAGTGCAGTCTTTCCCACCAAGTTTCCAAACTTTCTTTTGTTTGGCTCTAGGGCAGTGTCTCAACCTTTTTAGATATATGGGGTACCCCTCCATAACTTTTCTGAACTTAGCAATGCCTCGTTTTTCCAGTCTTAAAAAAAAAAAAAAAAAGTACATGAACAACTAATATAATGGCTGAGACACGCTTGCATGTACCACCTCTTCACCTCTTTATTTCCTGCATCCATTTGGATTGGAAGTGAATACTTATACTCCCATGAGACGCAACTTGCATAGGAGCCTAGTTGCTTTGAGCTGGCCTCCTCATCTGTGATGCACAAGATTTAGCTTCTAAAAGCAGCTCAAAGAAGTGCTTGTGTGAGAGCTGAGATATGGGAAGTGAGGGCTGCCTTCAAGCTGTCATGTTCATGGACCCTTACAGAGAAAAGAGCTTTTCCTTCTGTGTCTCAGCTTTGTGGACTGATGTAAAAGTATAGGTTGTTTGTACCAAAGAAATTTTCTGTTTCAGTTCTGATGGGAATAATTCTTCTTGTCACTTAAGGGAACCAGATATGGGCAAAACACTGGCACTGGGGCAGAAGTGCCGTCTTTCTGCATATGCTGATCTGTTCCAGTAGACTGCTTGGTACTTGTTGCTTCCAAGTAGTCAAGTAGGGAGTTAAGTTCTGAGCACTTTCCACTTTGTCCTTTATTAGGGAACCCTAGAAGCTATTCTTAGAAACAGTTCCTAGCTAAGAGGTTTCAGATGTCTTGCCATGAAGACTTTGAGTTTAGGAGTCTTTGATATTGTCAAAAGATTCTTGTATGTTCTTTATCTAAGACATCTTGAAGGAACTTTTGTCCCTGATAGGGGTGTAAATATTGTTTAAAAAAGTATCCACTTAACCTTCTCTAATTGTATCAGTTAAATGGTTAATCAATAGAACATGCTTAGTTTAGTGATCTCTGCCAGGAATTGCCCAAATTCTTTGTCTTCTGAGCCCAGGCTCCCCTTGCACTAGCAAGAAGCAAGCTCCAATGGCTGGGAGCCCCCCCAGCTGAGAGGCTCCCAGTTATGGGGGCATCTCATGCACCCCCACAGCTGGGAGATGCAGCTGCTGCCATCTCCCAGCCATGGAACCCCCTTGTGGCTGGGAGTGGCACCATCTACAGTCTTCCAGCCCCAAAGGTGCATGGCGTATCCCCAGGGCTGGGAGATAGCAGTGACTAGTGTCCCACAGCACCTGCTGCCAGGACCCTGTCTGCAGCTGCGGATCACTGGGTCACCAGCACCTTGGCGCGTTGCTGAGACCCAGAATTGGTTGCTGCTGGGTCTGAGTCCCCTCAGCTACAGGACTCCCAGCCCCAGGCGGGCATGTTGCTCCCCTGAGCTGACCAGGCTGCCAGCCAGACAGGGCTCTCAGCTGCAGCAGAGATCTTGCTACACTTGCAAATTATAGTGGTTGCTTTCCATCTTTAAAGTTAGTGCACATTTTCAAGATCTAACTTTATAGTTGGTTGGACCTTTTTATGGCATGATAGCTACTTTCCATGTGTCACTGGTCTCCGTTAATTGCTCAACTAACCATTTAATTGCACAATACCTGTAATAGGTACAGGGAGCCTCCGTTACTTTATTATGTTGACTAATTTTTTTTTTAAGCTAGTGTTCGTTCGTTCGTTCGTTCGTTCGTTCGTTCGTTCGTTCGTTCGTTCGTTCGTTCGTTCTCATTGAGTAAGGTAAATTATCCATTACCAAGGCTAGTAAAGGCACTGGAGTAGCTTACCTGAAAAATTTAACTGTAAAGAATTTTATTCTCACATCTCTAATGCAAAGGCCTTTTTACCTTCTTGCATTTGTGTATGGAGAAGCACCCTGAGGAATGACACTTACCTTAAATGATATTTTAGTGTCACTTTTTTCAGGTCAAAGGAACTTTCTCCTCATAATAATTATGACCTTTTTTTGGTTTGAATAGGATATATTCTAGATTAGGGCTGTGCAACTAGTGACATGTTAGTCGCATGCAGCCTGTTAAGGGTTAATGTGGTCCCAGGCTCTCACCTGTCACTGCTCATTGCTCTATCTGCATCAGCAGCTGGAGTCTCCAGCTTCTGCTTCTTGCTTTTGCCAGGGATGGGACTATATGGAAAGCAAAAAGTAAGTTCAGCTGCATCCAGGGGCATCGAAGTCATGTGCTGAGGAGGAAGGGTTTTATGCCTCTGCATAGTGTAGCAGTGGAGAGGATACCCACACAGGTGAATTATGCTGCAGTAATTTTGGGCAGCATTTTTGCAAAATGCCTGATATAGATAGCCTCCTTGGCTTAAAAGTTGGACAGTTCTGTTCTAGATAGCGCACATCACACTTAAAAGATTCCTAGAAACATTTTTCTACTTTCTTCATCCCCAAAAAGCTTGTTCTATATCATGTGGCACAGTTTTTCTGTAGAAGTGCTATAATGGTTAATGAAACTAGATGAAACGTTTCTTAATTTTAATTTGTACAGTTCAGTATTATGTATAATTTAATTTCTCACTATCAAATGTATTTACACTTAGGTTCAGGCAAAGAAGGAAGAACCTTTGCCACCAGCACTTAGCCAAACCATTCCATCGTTTTATTTTCCTCGGGGACTTCCAAAAGAAAAAGTGAATATAGATGCTGTAATTGCTAAAATAGAGAGGACTTTCTCTCAGTTTCCAAATGAGAGAGCAACTTTAGAAGACATGGGCAAAGTTGCAAAGGTGAGGATTTACTGTGTGTCTGCATTTTGTATGGTGACTCTATGGAAAGGATAGGTATATTCTAAGTTTTCCTATGTTAAGTGTTCTGTGATCTTAATAAAATTGAAATAAGGCTATGCTAATACATTCATATAGATCTGTTTCATAGCCTATTGAAGTCAATGGGTGTCTTCATCTTCCATTAACTTTTTGGGTAAGGCTCAACCAAATCAGCATTGTAGAAAACTAAAACTGAAAAAATGAGCTATAAAGCTTAGTTCTTGAGCTGCCAAAGTCTGTATTGACTGTTCCATACAGTACCATAAATATCAGAAGAATCATTGCATCTCAATACCCAGTTTTGTCTCATGCCTTGATAGTGTCAGTTGTGGTACTACTAAAAATATTTTAAGCAAGTTTATTGCTTAATTATTTGGCTTGGTTATACAGTGTAGGTTTAAAAATTTAATGCACTGTATGGAAGTGCCACAATAAAAAGTTACTCTTTGTTAAAGCACAAAGTCATTTTTTCCAACTATGTTAGATGAGGAAGGAAGTCAGAATTGGATTTATTAAGCACTGAAATCCATAATTCACTTCTCTTTACAATAAAGTATAACACTTACTGAAGGACTATAGCACACCACTTCTCCAGAGTACCATAATACAGAGATTTTAAGACCTGAGAAATGACTTTTGCCTTCTGTATAATATTAATGGCAGACTCATTTAATTTGTTTCTTAATTTTTAGTGTAAATGGTAAATGTCAAAGGAGTTCATTCAGTATACAATTTCATGATCAAGGAATAAGACTAGAACAAACCTGCAGACTGTAATTGCTTTACAATTAATATTCAGTATATGGAAATATACTGTTTCACTGGAGAAGAAAAATTTCCCAAAAGTGTTTATAAATAAATAAATAAATTATGGGGAAGGGGAGGTTTGTCAGCTTCTTTCTTTTTGCCATGAAAACATACCGTGTAACCAGGTAGGTTAACAAGTAAGGGCCAGATACAGTGAAAGACTTTGTGTTTTAGGTGCCTGGCCCCTAACATGGTATCTAATACCCTGTATGTGTAACTCTCCACATGCATAGTATGTGGAGTTTGTGCTTCTCTGAGGAGTCTGCCAAAAAGCCTGATCATGGAACTCTCTACAGAAAGACAACAGGAAGCAGATGTGTCCAAAATCCTATACAGTGAAAGCACACTTGTTCAGGAGAAACCATTTCTACGCCCTCAACACCTAGCCCCTGATATTCCCTTTTGTGGGGGCAAGCATCTATGTCCATATCCACAACAAAACAGGGTTTTCTGTCATCCTGTAAATATGGCTCTTGGAAGTGATGGGTAGTACATAGATGTGGGAACTAAGTGGTTTGTCCATTTGCCCAGGAAACAGGAGAGCTATGTTCAGTGCCCTTCTCAGTCAATTTTCTACCTCCCATGAGAAGACCCAGACCATTAGATTACAGAGGAGGTATAACCACTCTCTACCTCTTGCTGCAGACACAGTTAACTTGTGTGGCAAGGATTGTAATGTGGAGCTAGGAAGTCAGAGCCTGACTCTGCAGCTTACCCAGGAAGAGGGAGCAAGTGTTGATTCAAGCATATAACTATTTAAGGCTAGAGTTAGTTTAGATGTGCACAAAATCAGAGTTTGGATGCCCTGGTTACTGAAGTAAAGCCAGGAAGACACTGAATAAGTTCAAGCATCCAGCCTTAAATAGCTGCTAAGCAGGGTGTTTGGAGCTGCAGCTTTGAACTTGGGCACACAAGATGCCTATACACATGCAGCAAGGCTGCTCTGTCGCACTGTAATTACCATTAATTGAGTCTCGTGGAGCACAGTAAACCAACAGACTCTAACATCATGTGGATCAGCATCCCCATGCTGAAAAATGGTGGCGGGGTGCTTTAACTAAAGTTCATTCAGTGTCTTCCTGCTTTACTGAAGCTTGTTTGAGCTTTTGTTAAAGTGCCTCCACTGCCATTTTTCAGCATGGGGGCACTAAAGCACGGGATGCTCTGAGCACTTTAATCAGAGCGGCTCTTGAAACAGCTCTAATTAAAGCATCCGCTCCCAGAGCATATGTATAAATGCCCACAGATTTTACCCAAGGCCTTTTTTAGATCTATCCCTAACAGTATTGTTCCAGTTGAAGTTTACTGTACTAGATAAAGCTGGGCAATAAACTTAATCTTCCAAAAGTTTCCAGAAAAATTGGATCGATACAGGCTGAACCCTGTCACTGTATGTAGTAGAGAGCTGCAGGCAGATCCTGTTCCACCTGTTGGGCGTCTAAGTTGATTTAGGTGCTGAAGCATGGTTCTGTTCCATCCTGTTTAAGGCACTGACAATTCGTTAATACATGTACTGTTGTAACAGTCATTTAACCCTTAAGACTGAGTCACAAAAACAGTATGAAGGAAAAGGACCCTTCTGTATTTCCATTATTTTTTTTCATATAACCCACACCTTTTCCCCAAAACCAGATGGAGAAAACTAAGGTGTGCATTATATGTGAGGGGTCCAAAAATTTGGCAGGCAGGAGAAGGGGTGGCAGCATTAATTACTCTGCTTCCAGGAGTCCTGGCAACTAACCCTGCCTCTTCTCGCTCCCTCTCACCCTCGGTTGCTAAATCTCTGGACCCATAGGGAAGCCCCTTGCTTAACCACTTGCTGAGTTGGGCTGGCATGTGAGATTGGCCCAGGGCCAGACCTAGCATACTGGCTCTGGAGTCGCATGCTGAGTTGGACCCAGCACTAGCTCCAGGGAAATGTACTGGGTCACATACAATTCTGGAGCAAGCAGTGGCACAGCTGGGTCAGAATTGGTCTTGTGGTTCTGGCCCCAGTGCTGGTATGGTATCTAAGCCACTTACATGTCCAACAAGTAGATTAGAATCTGGCTCCTGCTGTCCCAGGATATTGGCATAGGGCTAGATGTAAGAAAGCAGGAGTTAAGCATCTAAATACCTTAAGTGCCTTAACTCTCATAATGTCAGTGGGAGTTCAGACACACAAATACCTTTTGGATCTGGCAGTTAGTCATATGCTAGCAGTATGTTATTCATAATCTTTTTTAATGAGGGAGTAACCCTTAGATAAGTAGTCATTTAACTGACTTGCTGTATTGTCTTGTGCTTTATTTTCAGGCATGTGAATGCCCATTTTACTGGAAAGGTCCCTTGTTTTATTGTGCTGGAGGTGAACGCACAGGACATGTGTCGGTTCATAAATTTGTTGCGATGTGGCGAAAGTAAGTAGGTTGCTTTTTCAGAGGTGCTGTATTTCTTAAATTTAACTGATGACATTTTTAAGCTCTGAATGAGATCCAGGCTAGAGAGGGGGAGGGAGGAAAAAACTTTTTCCACAAATTCTCTCTGCTTCAACTGACAGAATGGAAAAGGCTAGCTAAATACAGAGCAGAGTGGATGAGGGTTGTTAGAGCATCTAAGGTGCTCCAACTGTCACAACTGCCTTGGGACTGACTTGACAATCACTGAGAGTAAATTTTTAACAAGTTCTACATGAACAGTGAATAAAATCTTGGTATTTGCTGTGGTAGACAATGCAGTGTGGTAAGTGACAAGTTCCTAATGCTCCAAGTGTAAGTCTTGAGGCGGGGGAGTGGTGAAATGTGGATCAAAGTTGCAAACATAAGTCAACAGTTTTGGCAGGACACTTTCTAGTCTCTCCTCTGGATCCCAAAGAAAGAGCTGTGGTCTTCATTTTAAAACTTATGCCCTCACGTTTACTCCTCTGCTCAAATTGAGTACAACACTGCTTTATGTTAACACTTGCACTGTTTAGTATGAGAGATGGAAAATAGGATTGACCAGTGCAATACCTAGAAATGTGAAAACGCTGAAAGGTAGAGCAAAATTTCTAAAACTCTGCCTTTGCATTATTGTGGTTTTGTAGAGTGATCACATTTATAAGGATATTGAATTTAAATTTTTCAGTTTACAGCTGCTCTACATGCTTTAAATAGTCATGTCCACCTTTGTTGGTGAATAGGTATACATTTTTATTTTCACATTTCAGAATACTACAGACTTGTCATGATGATGCTTCAAAATTTGTTCATCTTCTAATGAACCCTGGATGCAGCTACTTGGTGCAAGAAGACTTCATTCCATTTTTACAAGTAAATTGCAACTGAAACTAATCATGACCCTCCTCCCCACCCTTTTGAAGTTACTTTATGCATGCTCTTTACTAAAACTTACTGGTGATGTTTAGTGTGGCACACTGGTATTTAGGTGACCTAGAGATTCTAGTTTGTTACAGTTTACTCTTATAGACAAATACTTATCACATTGTATCTAGGCAGGAAATTAAGAGCTGTATATCCTACTGTAGATGTTTGACACAGACCAGCAGATGGACCAGAATTTAATTAAGATTAAGAATGAGAGTTCAGGTGACGTAGTCATGTTAAGGATGTTCTTTTGAGATTTGTGAACTGCAAAAGAGAAGTGCCAGTTGAATATTGTGAACTATTACGAATCTTAAAACTGTGCTGCTGAATGAATAACCTGGCTTATTGAAGCAGTTACCTGTAGCAGATTACAAGAGAGAGAGCTTCTAGCTTTTCAGCAGTATTGTATACATCTTGCAGCCTACACTAGGAGAATAACCTGTTGCTGCTGACAACATCAACAGCAACATATAATGTGCACATTTATTTCCCATGTGTTTGACATCCTCTGCCTGTTTTAAGAATTAGAGAATTTTATGCTAAATGGCTTCGGGAAAAAATGAGCAGAGGTAGTTAGCAGTCTACCCTACGTTCTACTTGACGAAAAATGCCACTGTGGGATCATTGCCCAAGGCATTCTAAAATTGAAGTTTTATTTCACAATGTAGCCTTGCCAAGCAATGAAATTTGGGGTGATTTCCATCAAGATGTTGGATGCAATATTCTGCATTAATAATTCTGTACCACTTGGTCAAATGAGTATAAATGGACACTTCATTTTCTCATCATTATAGGATGTGGTGAATAGTCATCCTGGCCTATCATTTTTAAAAGAAGCATCTGAATTTCATTCTCGGTACATTACTACAGTAAGTGCTTAATGACTTTTTTTATCATTAATTTTGTTCACTAGTGAAATGTCAAATTGACCGTCTCTTTAGTGAAAAGGATGTTTTAGGGACATCTAGGCCCAAATAATATCTTAATTCCATTAGCTGTCCCCAACAGATTTTTTTCACAGTTTTAATTTACTTTAGTCCTCTGACTGAGATTCTAAACTACATACTTTTGTTGAATTCATAACACTAGTCTATGGACCAAAGAACAAGTACAGCTGTCCATATGTTTTCTGGTTTTCAGTGAGCTAAACATTTAACTATTACACATTTCTAAAGAGGTCCTGCTCTAATTTTTTATTAAAAATAATACGTAATTAGTAGGGCTGGCAAATTATTAAAAATGTAATTGCGATTAAAAAATTAGTCACTATTTTAATTGCACGGCTGAAAACTCAAAACTATGCAAGTGTGCAGGTATTTTGTATGCTTGAGGAGGGGGAACTTGTGAAGGTGTTGGGGGAAGGGGGAGGTTTGGAGCCCAGAGAAGGGGATTCCCTGCAGGGGGTCTGGAGCCTGGAGAAGGGGGACTCCCATACTCCTTGGCAGGCTGCCCTATCTCAGCGGAGTCTTCACAAAGCTGGCCCAGGATGAGCCCCCCCCCCCCCGAGCATGGCCCCAGGGGCAGTGGGTCCACCCTGCACTCATCTCAGCAGTGGCAGCCACAAGCAGCTCAGGCTGAGGGCAGCTGCCCAGGCCTGAACTTTACCACTTACTTGCTCAGCGGGTCCGGTTGCTCCATGCAGTTCCCAGCATGATGCGTGCAGCAGGAAGGTGGCAGTGGGCCTCACCCACTCACAAATCCCCATACAACCTCCATCCAGGGCTCTGAGCAGCCAGGCTGGCAGTGCTGGCTGTTCTAGAATCAGTGGACTGGAAGGGGCCTAGAAGACCATCAAGTCTAGTCCCCTGCCATAGGCAGGAGGTTAATGAGCTCAAATTAGCTCAACGAGATGCTATCCAGCCTTCTCTTGAGCTCCTCCAAGGATGGTGATTGCACCACCTCTGCCGGGAGTGTGTTCCAGGTTTTGGTTACCCTTATGGAAAATAAATTCTTTCTTATCTGCACTCTAAATCTTCCCTCTATTGGTATGTGACCATTGGTCCTCGTCTTCTCAAGGGGTGCCTTCCTGAAGAGTTGCTTCCCCAGTTGTTTGAGGAAGGTGGCTCTGGGTCATGGTAAGGCTGTCTGGCACCCTTAGACCCCATGGCTCGGGGCAGATTGGGACCGCCTGGGAGGTTTGGCACAAGCTTCCTGGGCCTGCAGGCCCCTGCACATCCCTGGTCCAAGCCCTTGCAACAGCAGCCCATAGTGGGGGCGAGATTCCTGTAGAACCACCTCCTGCAGCCCCCACCCCACAAAGCCCCCACCCCCGCCCAGCACCAATGGAGCCCAAGCTGCACCCAGCACCACAACTGCCAAGCCAGGCAGAGCCACCACTTTTTTTTTTTCCCTGTGCTGCTTGGGCTCCCAGCAGCTCTGTGGGTCCCAACGAGAGCCCAGGCAACATGGGGAAGAGTGACTGCTCTGCCCAGCCCAGCTGCAGCATTAGGCACAGCTTGGCACAGTTTGGGCTCCATCGGCCCTGGGCTGAGGCTGGGCATGCAGGGTAGCATGGTGCACGGGCTGCAGGAGGTGGCTCCGTGGGAATTTCCCCCCCCAACTCCCGGCAGTGGCTGCCTTTTGCAGGGGGGTGGGGCCACTGTTGCAGCCATCGCTACCTGAGGGTCCAGACTGGAGATCTTCAGGGACTTGCTCACTCCAGAGCTCCCTGGTGGTCCCAACCTGGCCCAAGGGTGCCAGGCAGCCCCGCTGTGTCCCAGCGCTGCCTTCCTTGAACTGTCGGCACTGCCAGCCCAGCTGCTCGGGGCCTTGGAGGGGAGTTGTGTGTGGATGGGTACTTGTGCTCCCCTGACCCTTCCTGCTGCAACCATCTGAAGCCTACTCCTGGGCTGCCCTGTGGCTCCTCTGCCCTGCTGGGTGGCCTGGAGGGAGTAGTGATGGTGGCAGAAAGGAGCTGCAGGGCAGCCCGGGCCCAGGCTCCAAAACAATGTGCACGATTAACACGTTAAAAAAATGTAACAGATTAATTGGTTCTTGAGTTAATTGTGCATGTTAGCACTGATTTATTGACAGTGTAGTAATTAGTTGACCTTCCCTTTTAAATTAGCATTGTATAATATGATTCTGGGTGGAGATTGTATAAGAAATTTCTTATACAGCTTTAATGATCGTGTTAACTTTGCTAGGTGGAAACTGAATTTAGGGAGTTTTTACTGGGTTTTAATACCAACTTTTTATTTTAGGTAACTTTAAAATCTGATTCCTGGTCTGCTTCCAGATGCATCTTAGCAGTACCACACCACACTCAGTTCCGTCTGCTACGTAGAAGTCTAAAATACTTGCTCTCAGTCTATAGGCAGCACCTGGTACATAAACTTCAGACATCATATGTGGCTAATCTGTATAAACAATGTTCTTGTATGAAGACAAAGGAATCCATGTAGGTAGCTTACATAGGGATTGTACATGGAATCTCTAGAATTTCCAGGAAGTAATAAGCATTTTGCACACAACATCTTTTTCTCTCTACAAACGATACCAAAAAAAGGTTATGCATCAGCCAGCCATTAATGCCAGGAGTATAATAAACAAAACAAGCCTCAATTAGTTGCACTCTGCTCTAGTTTATTTTAAAAATCCAGTTTTCAAGACTGTTCCAGTTGTCTCCTAACAAACATTTAATTTTGTTTTTATTTTTAGACGAGTTAGATGTGTAACAGATGAGGTAATGACATGCAAATAGATTAAGTTGCAAAGCTAAAGCAAAACCTTTTGAAAAAAAATTTTGCTTTGTAGTTTAAGCCAAACCTGGGCTTTCCCCGCATTCACAATTAAAGCTGAACTAATTAAATTTCAGAAGCAAGCTAGTCTATTCCCCTTACTAGGCTTATCAAAACAGTTGTTTTTGGTCAAAGCATGAGCTGCAGAATTTGCTGTGTGATGCAGATTAAGCTATTTTAAAATTTTAATGTAAAAGATATTTAACTCAACATCTTTTCGCCAGAGCAGATTTGATTTAAAATGAACGGGAGAACATGAATAACTTTACTTTTATTTTACATCTGGACTTCAGTCATTTTTCTAAAAGATTGATTCTTATTGTTTAATAATCACTAAGCTTTCTTGATTTGCAACTAGATATAACTACTGTACTAAGCTTGGCATTTTACTCATTAAATTAGCTGCATAGTCTAACAAACTTTTTCAGGGTTTTACTCCTATTAGTTTTGATGCACATCAAGCTACTCTTTGGATAGAAACAATTCAGCTAGTCAAGAAAACTAGCATGCTAAAATTCAAGGTCAGCGTAGTAGAACAGAGGTACACTTATCAAAATATGTTCTGTATCAGAAATCAATTTGGCTTAAACAAAATCCCCTTCAGTTATATTTTGGTCCTAATGTCTTTTCATGTCCTAATCACACTCTTGCTCTCTTTCTTCCCCCTCCTCCCCCATCCCATCTCCCCTTAGTTTGCACTTGCAGAATGGAAAAATCAACTTTTTTCCTTTTTCTCTTAACTCCCAATTGGTCTTATTTTGAATGATGATACTGATGCTGAAGTGGATTAAGTAATATAAAGGAAGAAATATATTCTTTTTGTACTAGCAGAAGAGGTGATAACTGCCAAAAGCTGGTTTATCATTCTCGTTACATAAACTATAGCCGGTGATTCCTACCCACCATTCCAGTTGAGTGGTTCAACCTTCTTTAAAATTTCAGCAACCTTCTTTAAAAATTCATTGTTTTTAGTTTTTATTTTAATTTATTTTCATTGCTTTTAAAATGTAAGCCTTAATACTCATTGTCATAAAGCTACTTGCAACTATATTGAAATTATTTTATTTAAAATGTACTATTTAAAATATTAATCTGGTTTAAGTACAATAAAGTGTGGGGTTTTTTTGTTTTTTTGTTTTTTTTTGAAAAACTAACTTTCGTTCACTCTCCCCAATTTCGAATTTTATTTTGATATGGAATTGAGACTGTTTTATTCTAATATAGGAGAATTGGAAAGTTGGAATTTCAAGTAATGTTTTCCAATCAATAGTATTTTTATAATACCATTAGACATTGTTGGCACTAGATTTATGTCCCAGATATCTTGTTTCGGGCAGACCCAAACCCTCAGACCAACTACAGCTTCTCCATTCAATAAAAGGGAAATTTTATTGATAAACGGTGATAGCAGATAAGAATAATGCAGGCAAGGCAAATAAAAGAATCTACACCAATTCTATACCTACCAGTCTCAGAGCTGTAACAGAGGAAAGGTACATCTGGCCCATACGCAAGCTTCACCATGAGGTTCTTTCTTGAATGTCATATGTCAGCAGCCTGGAGGTCAAAGGCTGAAACCCATCTACCCCCAGTGGGGTGGGTGAGATGTGCTGGTGGTATGCCTTCTGTCTATGGTGGCCTCAGGTTCCCCTCTCAGGGACGCTTTGCTGCTCTGAAATCCTTCCTTTTGTATTTTCTGTCCTCTGACTCTTCATCCCCAGTTGTCATTGATTGGTCTCCCTGTGGCTATCTCACTATACATGTTCTGTTCTGTTCAGTCCTGTCGGCATGTTCCTTAGTTCCAGCAAACCCATCACATGCACACTTCTTAATTTGGTTATTTACTGATCTCTTAATTTGGTTTGTCCACCAAAGCTGGAAATCCCAAGGGCTCTGCAGCTGGGTACGTTAACATCATGCCAGTGCTTCAGAGTCCCTTAATCTCTGTTTGGGTACACTGTTCTTGTTATGGAACAGTGTGGTACATCTCTTCAGTTTCCCAGCCTGCATTTGCTGACATCAGACACAGTGGGCCTTGAAGGAAACCGTCACACACAGGGTTTTAGAAACCAGTTAACCCTTACCATTCCCATGGACCATTGTTCTAATGCAATATCTACTTTACCTACAAGCCAATTCCCAAAAGCAAACCTCTAAATATCATTTTCTAGCCATCAATTATGGCAAGAGACACAATGCATAGACATGGTTTTAACATGGGAATAATGAGGTAAAGATGGATTTTGGTGTTGCAGCAGCAGAATTTTAACAAAAAACTGCATGTGAAAAATTCTGTCTTAAACTGTAGCCCAGGGAGAATGAAATGATGGTATCATTGGTAGGGAAAGATGGATATGCTTGCTGAGGGAGGAGGAAAATTAGCTTAGAAACAGTGAGTTTAGATGCTATTGGAAGACTGAAAGAATGTCCAACAGGCATTTTTATACTGAAGAAGATAAAGATTTAAGAATCACTTACACACAAAGGAAAAAATGGTAAAGGATAAGGTCACTTAAGAGTAGATAGAGCAAGAAGAGAGGACACACGGGCCCAGATCTGAACCCAAGAGGACCTCAATCAAGGGAGAAAGGAGGTAGCCTAAGACGGGGGTGGGGGTTGGTGACAAAACTTGGAGAACTGGACAACATGGCAGGAAAAAGTAATAGCAGTAACACAAGAAACCCCAGTAGCAAAAGACTGCAGGACCTTGTTTCTTTTCATTTGAAGTAGTGTTTTGGTCAGATACTTGAGACAAAAGTTGCCTTTCAACTAGTTTTGTCTGTTGCAGGTTATACAGAGGATATTTTATACAGTAAATAGATCCTGGTCTGGAAGAATCACTTGTAATGAGCTCCGGAAAAGCAACTTTTTGCAGGTATTCTGTTTAAAATTTTACATGATAGTAAAGTTTTTAAGCTAGCAGAATTGTCTAAGCCAAAGACTTAGAGGCATAACTACAAATAATGGCATTTGTTCTAGCCTCTTCTAAGGATCAACAAACTTTAAAGGAAACAATGACTCTGTCCAAACATTCATTTTTAACAGTGGAAAATTACACCACTAGAAATGATTTTAGAAGAGGGAGCACACAGTCCTCAACTGCCCCCTCTCCTCTGGTATCTGTACCTTCCCCAGACTAAGGTGATCCCATTCTGGGGAAAATGTGGGCTGCTCCAGCTCTCCTGTTCCTGGGGGATTGGAGCTGCAGGGCTAAGCCCCCTCGCTACTTCTCACACCATCATGAGACATGGTCAGGGAGCTCTCATTGCAGCTTCCTCTGCTCAGTTCCTGGTGCCCAGGAATAAGCGGACTGTGCCCTGCAGCAAAGTCCCCACCTGCTCCACACCTGGCATTCTAGTGTGAGGAGCAGGTGGGGTCTCTGCCCTACTAGCCCAGGGAAATCCTGGTTCTCAGCCTGGCTGGCTTCTAAATCTCCACCCCCTCTGGTTAGCTTAGCGATGTATGGGGTAAGGGGAAGGAGAGTTGGATCGGAACCAGGCTCAGAAATGCTGCTGCAGCCCAGCCAGTTTTTAAAAGCTGTCCCTGCTGCCCAACTAAAGCAGCAGGGCAGGGGCCAGAGGAAGCAACAGCATTGCCTGCACTTGGCTTTTAGTGCCCAGTAGACAAGTAGAGGGAACTGCAGGCAAAGCCACTGCCTGTTTCTCAGTTGAGAAGGAGGTGGGGAGTAGCTTGTGATTGTTCCTCCCCTCCCCTCCTGGTCTACGGGCAGGCAGGAGCAGCTATCTCCCTGCAACTTTTCCACAGAAGGGTGACCCTGCTCTCTGGAGACCACTGTAAACCTTTTACCCTGGCTCCATTCCTGGTCTCCAAGAAGAAATAAGCTGGAGGAAAGTATGCAGACATTTGGTTTCATGGGAGCAATTTCTACCTGGATATTATTAGGTTATTTTTCTCCTGAAGTGGCCATTTTTTGCTATAGGAGAAAAAGCTTGAATGTCTGTGTACTTCTCATTTCTACCAGTAATTATTCTTCCAGGAGAAACTGAACAACTTTACATGGCCACGGACTGAAATACAGATTCATTTTAGTTTTACATTGCTGTATTTCAGAGGTGTATTTATTTTGAGTTTGGCTAGCAGAAAGTTGGCAGTACTTACTACACTTCTTTCCCTGGGATTCTAGCTTTCAACCTAGCTTGTTAAAATCATCAGTTCCCATCATGCTGTACTATACATGCTGTCTGTGAAGACTACAGTTCCAGTGAAAAAACTCCTGTTCCAAGGTCTTGATCTCATTCTTTTAACAGCTGCTATGACAAACAGGCATCTTTGAAAGTGCTAATTAATGGCTTTTTTTCTTCCTAATAGAATGTGGCATTATTGGAAGAGGAAGCAGATATTAACCAGCTGACAGACTACTTCTCTTATGAGCACTTCTATGTCATATATTGCAAATTTTGGGAACTTGATACAGACCATGACCTCTACATTGATCGGAAGGATTTAGCCCAGCATAATGATCATGGTACGACAAATGGAACAATTTTGTTAACAGCCTCCATAAAGATTAACTGAGAAGTTGTTTACCTGCCAAGCCCAGAACTCCTGGCTCATTTTGAATGACTAACACTAACTGCTAAACAGGGCAAGAGTATTAGTACTTTAATGCTTCTTTGTGCTAATGATGGTAGATCATGCAGCAAGAAACAATGAACATGACCTCTGGGTTTAGCAAGAAACTAAAGGAAAAAATGACCTAAAAATTCATAATTTAAGCTAAAGTTTGCATAATTCAATGAATTGTAAATCTTAGTTCATTTACAACCTATGAATTGTGAGTTTTTTACTGTCCCTGAAACAATTGTTTTATCAACATATTAGATGTCCAAGTAATTGACCATACTTGTCAGGCTACAAACGAATGTTTTTGCCGTGGGATGTGTCATAATGTAGCCATTTTGTCAGTGAGCCTAAATATGAGTTTAAGACCTGAGCTTCAGGTGCACGTTTTAAAGAAATTTGGCTCCATACTTGTACAGCAGCTAGTGCAGTGAAGATAAGTCTATGTAATGGTCTCCCACTGATGAGGGTAGAGGCCTTCGTACTGTAGTCTAATTAGTTGGGATTACACCCAAATAAACTTTCAATTGCAGAAATGTCTTTTCTAGGTATCAGACAATTACAGCCTCGACTTCTTCTATTAATAAACTAGTGAATTGCCTATCAAGAATTACCGGGGCGGTGGGGGAGAGTGGAGACAGAAGACCGTGCACCACCACCGCCTCCCTAGAGTGGGGCGGAGTGAGGGTGGTGGGGGAAACTGGCACACGGCAGCCCAGACTGCACCAGCCTGTGCTGCTGCCGGTCCACATCCAGCCCTGCAATGCTCCCCAATCCCCCAGCCATATGTCTGTGGAGCACTCTGGCTGCCAAGACCACCAATCGGAGTGCTCCGAGATCATTATGGACAGACAGACGGACTAAACCGATATGTTTCTCAATATAGATATAATTCCTTAATAGAGACAGTAGATTATGCTATAGGCTTTATGGTCTTGAGGTACAAGTGCTAGGGAATAATTAAAAGGGATATCAAGTTTTGAGACCAGCTTTGCTTTGGAAGCTCTTACAGTCCTGCGGTCCCATCAGGGAGACCTAAGAGGGTTGTTTCAGTTTCCACACACACTTCTTGTCTTTCTAAGTGGCTTGCAATAAATACTACATCAGCCAGGCAATGCAAATTAAAAACATTTTGAATAATGTCCACTTTTTTTTTTCCCCATTTACAGCTATATCAAATAGGATGATAGAGAGGATATTTTCAGGAGCAGTAACAAGGTAACTCTTTATATAATCCAATGTAATGCTCACATTTCAAGAACGTTCATGCTAAAACAATTGATTTTTTTCACTAAAAATGGATTTGTAAACTTCAGGGATTCTGTTCTCATTCACTGCTGATATCCACTGTTTTAACATCATTTTTTTTTTTTTTGGTGCTGGCTCCCAATGGCAGACACTGCTAAGGCCTTTTGGTGCTTGGTGAATAAAGAAAGGCACTATAGACCACTGTTATGTAAGGTAATTTTAAGTGGAGAAGGATAGGAAAGATGATTACGGGCACTTGCCATGTTTCTTCCTTTTTCAATTTGGTAATTTTAAAACTTTAAAAGCAATGCTTTGAAAACAGGGGCAGACAAGGTTTTTTGGGTAAAATGTGTTATCTTTTATTAGACCAACTAAATAGCCAGAAGAATTTGTTCTTTGCAAGGTTTCGGGTACAAATACCCTTCTTCGGACTTTGTCTCCCTGAAGAAGGGTGGTTGTACCAGACAGCTTGCAAAGAACAATTCTTCCAGCTATTTAGTTGGTCTAATAAAATATCACATTTACCAGAAGAACCTTCTCTGCCTATATCTTTAGACCAGCATGGCTACAACCAACATGCCTTAAAAACAACAAACCAATTTCAGTTGCTAGAAATGTTTGTTTTTCCTACTTCATATAAGAGAGAACCTTGCCTTCAATTGGAGTGCTTACTGCATTTAGTAATACTGAACTGTCATGTTCACTTGTTGGTCATTTTTGCTTCTTGTGTAACGTTGTCACATTCCATATATGATGCTTTGAGGCATCTTACATGATGCTCTTGGGATTTTTCAAGAGGATACAGTAGAACCTAGATCATCTGTAACTCACTCAATTTATAGCTGTCATTTCTTTTACTTCAAAAGATACATCTTCACTATTCAGCTGGGGCTTGGAAGTGGTCACGCACGGCTAATTAGAGGAAGTAGCACCCTTTTAAATACTGTCTTTACTCAAATCAGAGGTGACGCCCAAAAAACTAGTTGAAAGAGAATATAAGATGAGAGTGCGCATGGATATATCTATCTCCATGCACATATATATAATCTCAATTTTCTATATGTATGTATCCACACGTGTGCGTGTGGATATATACATATAGAAAATAGATAAATTTGTTATAGTTTTCCAGGTTTAGATTCTAATTATCAGAGTTTTACCTTGAATTTGCCCCCTTCCCACTGCTACAGCAGTGAAAATAGTGGGTGGGGGTAGGGTCAGGTGGCCCCCTTGCCCTTTGCTCTTCCTACCTCCCCTTTGCTGTCAGACCCTGCTTGTACTCTGTTCCCTCCCAGAGCTTATGCAGGCATGTGATTGTAAGGTGGAAGGGTCAGAAGCTTCAGAGGACAAGCAAAAACTAATTTAAAATACAAGGCCCCAAAAAACACTGTTTGAAATAAACATGCCTGTAATTTGCGTATATGCAAAGTACTATGCATACTTTCAGCTGTAGCTCATCCAGAATTGATGCATTTTCTCTTTTCACTAACTGCTGCAAGTTTCAGTGTAGGTACTCAGTAAACACACTTGAGCAGCACTTTTTATATCTACTTATATTGCATGATACTACTCCAAAGCTGAAAGTCTTATGATATGTCAGATTCATTGGGTTGGGCTCCAGCAGAGTCAACACTGTTTCATGCCATGGTGACCCCATAGCCCAGTACTGTTCAGCATGTGTATACTCCAGATACCACTCTTTCCCCCCCATCCCCAAAGGATCCATATGTTAATTACCCCCCTCCCCCCACTTGCAGCTGGAACTTGGTGTTCTTGTTGCAAGTCCTGGGACCCTCCAAAAGTTAATATGCAAATGAGGTATGGGGCCACCGGGTCCCGCTTCCACCCCACGAAGGGCAGGGCCACACCAGTTGCATGCGGCAGACCAAGAAGTGAGACAATGGAGCCTGTCACTTGCGTGGTGATGTTTGCCAGACATTTAAGACTGTTAAAGAAGCTAGAGAGATGCTGCTTAGCTGTGGGAGTGAAGAAGTCTAAATCCATTTGATGGAATGGTACACATGAGTTGAAAAAAAATTGGTGCAGAGCGATACTAAGTTCAGTGGGCACTATCATTTATCTTAGTTTGATGGGCTGCAGCAACCTAGCTTTGTGGTAGGTTCCCATCAGTATACTTGCCCAATAGGAGCTCTGTGTTTCACAGGCAGGCTCAGTGTGGGTTGCATTCAGTCAACTTCATAGTTGGTTTCCATTACTGAGTACATATTGCTTTTGGCAGGAGTTTAATGATAGTATATTTAATGAAGTTTTCCTGTATGCAGATATAAGGAGCACCTTTTTCCCCACTTCTGATTGTGGGGGGGGGGCTTATATTAGAGTAAATAAAGTAGTAAAATCTGCACCAAAGCCTTGGAGCACCTCTCTCTTCCCACCACACACTCCTGTGTCCTTCCTACCTTCTTCCCTCCCTCCTCCCAGATGCTTCACAAATCCTCATCTTTTCTGGCAAACGAGGCGATAGGAATCTAACCCTGCAAAGTATCCAGGTTCTACAATTTTTAAGAGAAACGACAGCAAAAAAGCTAAAACCAAATTAGCAATGGGTAGATATGCACAGACAGAAAAAGATTGTTTTGGTGTTGCTGCTTAAGCCTGCCCAAAAGATCCTTCTAAATTATAACTGAAGCAATAGAAAAATATTTTAAAATGAAAGAATTTTGTAAAGAGCATTTTTGATATACTAAGGAAATCCAAAATAGTACTAAAATATTCTGATTTTGCTTTTTGTTAATACCTGCTTTGGTCTAAAAGGGGCAGAAAAACGCAGAAAGACGGAAAAATTAGCTATGCTGATTTTGTCTGGTTTTTGATATCTGAAGAAGACAAAAAGACTCCAACTAGGTAAGAATTTATCTTGCAATAGAGCCTAACTAGAAACTGGTTTTACTAGCACTGCCACAAGCTTATAAACTGGTAGAATATCTAGCTGACCTGCATAAATCTTGAATTGTTTTGCAGTTTAATGGAAGACTGTGTTCTTACCTGTCTGTCTTCTCTGGCCTCACTTCATCTGATTTTGTAGTGGATTTTCTAGAAAGGTGTTCCATTTTTATAGGAATGGGTTCAGGCTTAAACAAAACTCACGTATCCTATTAATGGCTGCTTCTAACTAGAGTTACAAGTTTTCAAAGCCACTGTTCCTTGAATACATTGAGTTCTTTGACCATGCAGTGAAGTTGTAATACTGACATTGGAAAATCATGTCACTCCACAAGCCTGGCAAATCTTAAATTTGGGCTAGGGTTAATAATCTGTGGAAAGTTGTGAAAGGAGAAAGCAGGCTACAGTAACTTAAGTTGATTTTTTTTTTCTTTTTTTTCTTTCACATTTATTTAGTTCTATGAGTTGGTTTCCCTTCTAGAGAACTTTCACGCCTCTGTGATTCATTAGTGTTCTTTTTTAATGTATTTTGCATTGTATTCAGCCATAATACTGTAGCAATCATCTCATAATGAAACGTTATGCTTTGTTCATGGTTTCTAAGCCTTGAGTTGCACTTTATTGCAAAGCAGATGTGGAGAGATTGTTGACATACCTAGCGCTTGAATATGAAATTCATTTGTGACATCATCAGGCATCCTGGTTTTCTTTGACTTTTCTTTTTTTTAACAAAAAATCCCCAACTTTTAGTTAAAGTAACCCCAAATCCACATTTTATATCTACAGCCTTCTCTTAACAAAATTATCTTCATTTGAAGTGTGACTTGTCCAACATACCTTCAAGATGTATCTTAAGAACCACATCTCACTCGCTTCAATTCTCTTTTGCATACTTGGTGATGTCTTTTGCCATCCCTATTCTCCCATTTTATTTCATGATCACACTTATTGTCTCATGTTATCCAACTTCCCAAGTAGTTAAAACATACTGATCCGCCTTATCTGTTCCTTTTCCACTTTGACATTGCATGCAGGAATGATGTGTTTTGTAATTTTACCATGCATTCTGTTTAAAGTATCAACCATAGAAAAACTCTTATCCTCACTTTCACTGACAATTTTATCTAATTCTTTGCAGCTTCTCTTCTGAATCTGCTATTAAGACTGTGTCATCAGTGTAATGCAAGTTGTTCAAATTCTATCCACCAATGATCAGCCCTGGTAAACCCTCAATGTCCCTCAGCATTTTTCCACTGTACAAAATGAACAAGTCAAGTGATAAAACACAGCCTTGCCTCACGTCTCTCTTAATTTGGATGAAATCACTTGGTAAATTTACTATCTTCACTGTTGCAGTTTGGTCCCAATAGAGATTTCTTAATTCTCAAGTCTTTTACCATTGATATCCAGTTCTTCCAGCATTTTCATTCACTCCTCATGCTTGACTCAATCAAAAGCTTTGTTATAATCAATAAAATGCAAGAAAAGGTCTTTCCTCACTTCTGTTAACTTTTTCTAAAAGCATTCATACCATGAAGATGGCATTTATTGTACCTCAGTCTTCAACAAAACCCCACTGAACTTTTGTAAACTCCAGTCTTATTCTACCTCTAGTTCTCAACATCAACACCTTTAATAGGATCCTTGTCACATGGCTCATTAAACTGGTGGTTCAGTAGAGTTCACTTTCAATGACTCCTCACAGTCAGTGACTCCGCTTTCATCAATCTCATTGATAACAGTTGATAGCTTTTCTATACCTACTCTTCCAAACATTTTATTTGTTCTACTGGTCCTGTAGCTTTATTGGGTTTCATTCAGTTGATAACTGTTCTTACTTCTGACGTAAGAATTTTCAAATCATCCATGTTTTTCTTAATGGATAGTTTTTCTTCTCAACTGTTGTAGAATAACTCTTCAGCATACTCTGGCCATCTTTTCAATACTTGTTCATATTCCATAATTACATAACCATTCTTAGCTTTTTATGCACCCCCTTTCCTTGTGATACATTTTGATATATTCTTATACATTGATGGCCAGTTCTTGACTTAAACTGATTCGTTATAAAGTGTCTATAAAGCTGTGGAAGATGGTTCTCAGAACCAAGTTAACGTACTATCCAGAGTTTCAGAACAGGTTGTATTAAGGTAATTTGAAAATATTGTATGTTTTTAATGCATGAGTGGCTTTTTTTCTAACCAGTCAATAAAATGGTATGACTGCTTTTTTTTCCAGCATTGAATACTGGTTTCGATGCATGGATCTTGATGGGGATGGTGTATTGTCTATGTATGAACTAGAGTACTTCTATGAAGAACAGTGCCAAAAGCTGGATAACATGACCATTGAACCTCTACCTTTTGAAGACTGCCTGTGCCAGATGTTGGATCTTGTGAAGCCGCAGTGTGAAGGTAATGGTCTTGTATCTGTTTCAGATTAGATAAAGGATGTGATTGCTGGGCATATTGTTAAGAAACCTGTTTTAAGTGGGGAAAATGTTTTAGTTTGCTGGAAAAAAGCACCCTGGAGACACTGCATGCCATGTAGTAGCTGCTAAGATGACTGCCATCAGTCTGTTCTGCAGAAGGGGGTAGAGTCTTGTGCTAATGCTCTCACAACCATACCTGTTGGCTGAACACCATAGTGTGCCTGAAGCAGCAAGGGAGATGCTAGTAGAATTTGGATGCGGTTTCTGATGTGGAAACAAAATGTTATTTATATATAAAGAAGTAACAGTCTTGCTTACCTCCCTTTGCAAGGGTCTGAGGGGCTAACCTTGTGTGACAGAGTAAGTCTTTCAGGAACATATAGGCTGCTTACAGATGTGAAAAAACAAACCCCAAAATGGCGCTTTACTTTAAATTCCTCATGTCCCTGCTTTACTTTAAACTCCACCAAAGCCAGCACATTCCCAGAAGAGGCATCAGGTTAATTGGACTTGGCTCGGCCAATGTCTCTCTCTGGATCAGGCACTTCAATGGGGCTTTTTGGTACTACTTTTATTTAATAGCTGATTCAATCAGCTATTAAAAAGAAGTACCAAAAAGCCCTGCTGAAGCACCCAGTGTGTACAGACACTGCAGATCTGGGTTGAACTAACTAACATGTTGACATGTTGCTGCTTCCAGTAAAGTATGGGATAAGGGTTTTTTGGTTTCTCCCCCTTACGCTGTCTCGCTCTCTTGGCACTGATGGTGTGGTGTAAGTGTGGCATTGCAGGAGATGGTGTGCCACACCAGGAAGTTGCTGATATCGCACTTCCTGGACATTCTGTGTTCCCAGGACGACTTCTTCTGTCACACTCAGCTGTGACGACCTTTTTCTTTCTACATTCTGCCTTCCAAAAACAAGGTGCATATTTTTGAAGGCTAGTTGTATGCAAGCAAATATGGTATTAAGTCACTTCTAGGATAACTTGCTTTGGGCAGTGGCTATGACTGTCAAATGTAGGTACCTAAATATAGGATTTTCAAGTACCTAACATGGATTTAGAATCAAATTGCTTTAATAATGCTGAACAATTGGCAACTCTTAGTGACCTTGAATTCTGTTAGGGGCTAACTTGGGGGTGGGCAAAATATGACCTGCAAGTTAGATTTGGCCCACCAGACCATTCTGTCCTGCCTACAGGGCCCCTCCAAAAACATATATTACCTGTCCACAGCTACCCCTCAATGCTTGCGGGAGGCAGGTTTTCAGAAGTCGCATGCCATTGGACCAGGCAGGCTCTGTGCTTCCACCTTTTCTGGGGCTCTTGGCATGCCATCTGGGAGCCCTGTGTGAAGACACTGAGCGTGATGGCACACAACTGGACAGATAGTAAATGGGGAGGGGAGCACCTGCCTGTGAGGTGGGGAGGGGGGTGGTTGTCGGTGGAGTGGGGTTGTGCAGGAGGGGGAAGGTGGTTGGGGGAGGGTCCTACCATGGCGCACAGTTCCCACTGCCAGAGCAGGCAGGAGGCCCTCATGTTAGGGTAGCTTGCCATATATAGCTTTAGTTGAACCTGCTTGAGTGATGAATCACAGTATTTTTTGAACTTTTGTGCCTTAGCAATCCTTTAGCACCATCTGCTGGACAGATAGGTACGGTAACACTCGGGGTGCTCCTGCCTGCTGCAGACAGAGCCCCCCAGTTATACATGGTTCTGGGGGAATCCCGGAGCCTGCATGGCCTGGCCCACTGGCACATGCCCTCAAACTAAACTGGGCTGGATCCATGCCAGCACGTGGAGCTCCTGACACTGTAGGCAGAAGTCGTCATGTCACCAGCTCAGGCTAGGCCACCTCCATGCCTTCACATGGAGCTTCCTGCACTCCAGCAGGAAGCTGAACATGGTGGCCTAGAGCCAGCCTGGCCCACTGCCACACCACTTCCCACGGCTCCCAGTCTGTGCGCCGTTGGGCTGGGCAGGCTCTGTCTCCACATGCAGCTTCCTGCTAGAGTGCTGGAAGCCTCATGTGGAGACAGAGCTGGCCTGGCCTGTCCTGGCCCATTGGCTCATGGCTCCCACCTGCAGTGCCAGGAGCCCCACATGCTGGCATAGAGCTAGCCTGGTCTGGCTTGAAGGTGCGTGCCAGCGGACTGAGCCAGCTCCCTGCCACCACATTCAGCTCCTGAGATTTACTGGAGCTGCATGCCTCCAGAGGGCTCTGCCTGCTGTGGGCCAGAAGCACCCTGAGGGCCTGCAACCTGCTGGGGCTACTGCTGTTGCTGCTGATGAGGGCTGTGCGCCATGGGATGGGGGCGCCTACACCCACCCACACCCCCTCACAACTCAGCAGGCCCACACAAACCACACACATACACTATACAAGAGTAAGACTTTATTTTGAACTAGTATGCCATTACCTGCATACGTTATGCAAACACAGAAATTAGGACAATATTTTTTTTTTAAAATGTTATAGTAAAGGTTTGATTTTTAGTATACGAGTTGTTTTGGAGGGGGGGGCGGGGTTCTGGATCTGGCAACCCCAATTCCAAAAGGGGTACTTCCAAGGGGAGGACTTCTGGTCACAAAAGTCAGGGGTTAGGGGTGGGACTTCCAGTCCTAAGATGGTGATCAGGGGCGGGGGGTTGGGCAGGGCACCTGTGAAAGGGTGAGGCTATCCTTAGAGCCCTTGACAGCTCACCAGAAGTCATTAAGTGGCCTGCCAGCCAAATAATTGCCCCCACCCCATGGCTAACTCAAATATTTTCTCATATTGGAAATTAACATAACCTTTAGTTCATGAAACTTACTTGAGTTTGTTTACAGCAGATTTTGTTATGCTTGGTAACAAAGCTCAACTCGAATACTAAATAAGCATTAAGCTGTACTGACTAATCAATTCTGTAGTATTCGCTAATACTAGTAGTCATTTTTATATGCCTTTTCTAAACTTTAAGGTACAGTAATGTCCCTCATCCTGCCAGCATACCACCTCCCTCATCCCCCCCCACCCCCCACTTTCACCACTGCAGGTTAATGCAGCTTTCATGAGGAACTGGTAGAAACAACAATACATTGTTCAGCATGTGGATGAATAGGATTTGCTGGGGAAGAACCATTACAGTCTTTGTCAAAAGAAAATCATGTCTTTCCAACCTACCAGAGTTATTTTGAGTGTGTCAGTAAGCAGGTGGACCAGGGTTGGAGAGGTTTATGTCCCAGTGAACTTCAGAGCTATGTCACCTAAAATGATCCACTCCTGGCAGGGTAACCCATGGCGAGCAGGTGCAGGGAGAGGGAAGGGTCTCTCAAACCACACTTCAGCCCCAGTCTTCAGCAGTAGATCAGGAGGAAGACTATGCCAGGATGTCGGTGGCTGTAAAGCAGGGGTGGGCAAAATGCAGCCTGGGGGCCAGATGCAGCCCACCAGGCCATTCTATCCAGCCCACAGGGCCCCTAAAAAAATTTAGAAAATTTATATTCATCTGCCCTGGGCTGCCTGTCATATGGCCCTCTGGCTTGCAAAAACTCAGTAAGCAGCCCTCCACCCAAAATAATTGCCCACCCCTGCTGTAAAGATGGAAGAAGGTGGTAGCAAGTTGGAAGTCCAAGTGTCCTATTATCTAGGGTTCTCCCTTGCCACTGGGCCCAGATCTCCACCTTGTCAAGATTGTGTGGTTGCTGTTTCCACACACCGGCTTCCTCGCGTTCAACAGTCACACACAGGCTTCTACCACAAGAAACAACACTCTCCTGTACCAACCTCTAAAAACCCTGCACTGATGGACCAATGGTGATGGAAGCGGGATTAGTGAATCTGGCAGTCTCCAGTCACAAATCTGCGCACCGGCAGTGGTAGCCTGGTAATCATGCTGTGCCTGGATTGAGACAGGTGAAATTCAGCAGCTTCTATCATGACTGCAGTCCTGTGCCCCTCTGCTCAACCCACATGGGAAAGGGGCTAGAAAAGATTCCCTAAAACTATGCTGTCTTAGCTGCTCCTGGCTGCATAATCCTGTCCAACTCTCTCTGCAGACAAAAACATCATAAGAAGACAGTTATTTTCACCACATGGAACTTTCACACCTTGGTGGATTACCAAGACAATAAATGACCAGAAAAAAGAGCTACCATCGTTGCCAGGGAACTAGAGAGATGCAGCATTGACATTGTAGCTCTGAGCAAAACAAGACAACCTGATGAAGTTCAGTTGAGGGAAGAGGCTACTCCTTGTGGGAGGGGAAACCAGGCTAGGACAGACTTATTCTTTGCATTGACTTCACCATCAAGAATCAGTTCATCAGTCAGCTTACAGAGCTCCCTGTATGCATTAATGAATGTCTGACAACCCTACATCTTAACCTCAGCAACAAGAGTGGTCTGAGAGCAACATTTAGATCCAAGCCTTCCTCAGTTAGAACAGATGCTTGTTCTGCTTGGCAAGATGACACCTCACCTCAGTAGAAGAACAAAGTATCAGCTTCTCAAAGCTGAAACTTAAAGGAGGATTTGGGAAATCAAAAAACAGTGGTGGCAAAATAAAGCCAGGGAGATCCATCTCTATTCTGACAAACATGACACACACAGGGGGGGTTTTGTTGTTGTTTTTTCCTCGGGCAGTGAAGACCTTTATGGTGCAGCTTCCTGTGCTTCTACTTCCTTGAGGCTTGACACTCCTCAAAAGACAATGAATCTATTCAGGCTAGATGGAAATAGTACTTTGAAGCACTCCTGAACCATGAGTCAACCATGGTAGATATGACTGTCAAATCCATCCCCCAACACCCTGAAAGATCATCTTCAACTCAAGGGATTGCTGTTGTCTTGTATCTGGACTTCCAAAAAGTCTTTGACAGGGTCCCTCATCAAAGGCTCTTACTGAAATTGGGTAGTCACAGGATTACACGGAAGGTCCACTCATGGGTTAGAAATTGGCATACAGATAACAGAGTGAATATAAATCATTTTTTGGATGGAAGGAAGTAAACAGTGGAGTCGTTCAAGGATCTGTTATGGGGCCAGTGCTGTTTTTAGCTCATTTTATGAATATGTTAAAGGGTTGAGTAGCGAGGTGGCCAAGTTTAAGGATGATACAATTATTCAAAGTAGTAAAGACCAAGGTAGACTGAGGAACTACAGAAGGATCTTGTACTGTTGTGCAAACAAGCAAATGAACGGCAGAGGAAATTCAGTGTAGGTGCATGTAAAGTGATGCACATGGGCAAAAATATCCAAACTATACCTATACTGTGATGACCTCTGCATCGGCTGCTACCACATTAGAAAGGATGATCTCTATCACGGCTCACTGATGGGTCTTGAGATTACTTGAACCAATCCTGCAACTTCTGAAAACCACTTTTCTTTCAGGAGACAATGAATTGCAATTCAATCAGAGGTTTATTTTTTAAAGATTTTGTTTCTTGCTTTCTTGATCTTTCCAGGGAAAATCACTCTCCATGACTTAAAGAAGTGTAAGTTGGCAAATGTCTTCTTTGATACCTTTTTCAACATTGAAAAATACCTTGATCATGAGCAAAAGGATCAGTTTTCGGTGTTGAGGGTAAGTGCTTAGCAAAGTATCTTGTTAAAAGCTAATATGCAAAATGTAATGTCCTTATAATCAATTTTAACATTTTAATATATTTAGGATAGTGATAATGACAGCCAAGAGATCTCTGACTGGGAAAAGTATGCTGCTGAAGAGTATGATATCCTTGTAGCAGAAGAGGCAGCTAGTGACCAGTGGAATGATGGGTAAGAATGAAATGGGAATGTTAACTGTAAGACCTTGCTAAACTGTAGAGCACTAACTGTTAAACCCTTGCATTGTCCTTTGTGACATTGCACTTGCAGAACTTCATGGCAGAAGTTGCTTGCATAGCAACGTGGCTTAGGAACCTTTTGAGCTGTACACTGGACGTTAGTGAGAACGGCAGGAGGGGCATGCATGTATCATGATGCATGCCATTCTCAGAAACGAGCACTAATAGAACAGGCTGAAATTTCACAACACTTTTAAAAGTCAAAGGCCTTATTTCAAAACAAGAATCTTGACTTTAAAAAAAAAAAAAAAAAAAAAAAACAAAAAAAAACAAAACTTC